CTGCAGGTAGCAGCTGAGCCCACTGGAATCTTCATGGCTGGTGCTTCCCGGGAGGCTCCCGAAGCTCAACAGTGTGAAAGAGTGGCTAGCTAACAAAGGTCGTGTTCCCATGCAGCAATTAGCTGAGAAAGAATTAAACAACAGTGGAGTGTAGTTGGTATGAGATGTTGCAATGTCAGAAAGACCTTACTGATAACTGTGAACTGAGAACAGGACACTGTGATCAGAAGAATGTGGATTCAGCACAGATGAATGACCACAAGAAAGTGGAACTAGGTGGAGTTGTCCTTAAATGAAATATCCAATAATGGGCTTGCTTTTGCACTATGTATGAGCCTAATTATTGATGTTATAGAGGGAGTTTGGAGTTGCCAATAAATGAGACTTGCTGATCATTCATATTGAGTGCTGCTTGTCTCCCGCCGAACTCATCAAATGGCGCCCGAACAAATGGGACCCTTGGGACCTTTGGGACCTTTGGGACATTAAAAAGCGAAGGCCACGGGAGTCGGTGACAGGGGACGGGTCCTCCGCAGCAAGGACGGCGAAAAGCAACGGTGCCGCGCCCCAGGCGACCTCAGAGGAGAGTCCTGGCCGTAACGTGCTGCCGAACCTTGTAGGGCTGCAACAGCGCTGACGGTAAGATGGAAAGGCAAGCAGCACATGATTTATTTACCTGCTTTTTAGAAAAGCCACAGCTTAAGGGTTTTGATTTGCGCAAGGAGCTCCCTGGACTTCTTGCTTATGGGTATGCTTACACCTTTACCTCCCACTGCTGGGCAAACACTCCTATCTATGCTGCCCATGGAAAGAGGGAGGGAGAGTCAGAGAGAAGGAAATAATAAGTAAGAAATTCCAGAGGAAACGCTGAAACAACGAACAGAATCTGTTCAGTTACGGCAGGATGTGATATATCCTGAACTATTTGCTTCACTTTTGGAGTCACTCTTAACACTACAATCTTATTTAAGTTCCAACTTAACTCAGGTGGATGGATAATGTTTGAACCCCCAACAAAAAATCATCCTGACAAAGCAACACAGTGCTGGGCTACAGTCAACCCCATAGTTGATCTCGTTACTACCACTGAGAGTAAAGCTTTTTACTTGTGATGCAATCTCACAGGACAATTACCAAAGCGATTACCTAGTTCCATCTTCCTAATCTGTGGGGATAGGGCATGGAATGGGATTCCTGCTAATCTTGAGAAACTAACTTTGTTCCACCCAAGTTTACACCAATTGCTGAATGTAGCTAGCAAAATGAAGAACATCAAACAGTCAAAGCCAAGCCTGAATGAATTAAGGCTTAGCAATTCTAAAAAGGCTCGCTTGTTAGACTAAGAAAGAATTGAATCTAACATCCACGATGTTAAGTGAGCTTTCAGCCGATGTGAGTAGTGTACGTCATGCAGTATTACAAAATTGAGCTGCAATTGACTTTTTGCTCTTAGCACAAGGACATGGTTGTGGGGAGTTTGAAGGCATGTGCTGTCTGAATCTTACTGATCATTCAGTTTCCATCCATGGGCAACTGCAACAGCTACAGGATGGGTTACATGCCCTGGAGGAAGATAGTGACCCCATTGGAGGTTGGTTCTCCAGCTGGGGCATCACTGGATGGTTGAGGTCTCTTGTGCTGGAAGGGGGACAGACTTTACTTATAATGTTAATGGGGATGACAGTCTAAGTTGTATGTTATCTTATCCAAAGCCTGGTTTGTGCAAAAAGAGAAAGGGGGAATTGTTATATTTTATATATTAGTAAAGGCCTTTATGCACAAACCAGCCTTTGAAATAAGTCGTGATATTAAGGGCTAAAGTCCTTGAAACCTTCCTGCAGAAGAGAGAGTAAAGCAAAACAATATCCTTGTGTGTAGGGGAAAAAATGTAAACCTGTGTGTGTTAGCCAATAGTAGCTTACTCTGCCCGCAGACCCTGTAAAACCCTATAAAAGGTGTGCTAAAGATAGAAATAAACGGCGTTCACAATTACTTCTGTGAAGACTGGTGAATAGCTGGCGGTCTCTCAATACAAAGGTACCTGTTTCAGTTTTTAAACATACCTTTTTTTCCATAGTTCTGGTAGTTCCTGGTCTTTAATTTGATTTAGCAAGGATTAATTTTAATTAAGGCTTTAGCTTTCCTAATATCTTAAATTCTTCAAAGTTTATGTTTCAGCCTGAAAGAAGAACAAATTTCAGAGGACTGGGGGCACCTTTTGGAATGGCTGCAGGTAAAAAGACTGCACCCAGGTGCCAAAGATTTGTACAAAGTAGCTCTTGCCCACGGCTAGCCTGTCACCAGGGAAATGTGTAAAACTTGCATATCAGCCTGCAAGCAATGTCGCAGATGACTGCAAAGCCATCCTTTAGAAGATGACCTATGTCCTTAAGAAAGGGTAAAGGCTTATGGGATGCGTGGCAGGCAGATTATATTGGTCCCTTGAAGAAGTCAGGTGGTAAACACTTTGTGTTGGTAGGAGTGGAGATTATATGTGGGTTGGTCCAAGACCAAGCTTTGAAAAGAACTACAGGAGATAATACTGTCAGCATTGCAAGGGTGGTTTGGAATTTTCCCAAAACCACAAGAAATTCAATCTGATAACGGGTCCCACTTCACTGCCAAAATTGCACAGAATTGGACAAAAGGTGAAAGAATAAAATGGACTTTTCACACCCCTTGCTGCCCTCAAGCTAACGGGATTGTAGAAAGGACCAGTGGTTTCCTGAAACGGCTCCTTAAACCACAGGAAGGAAGCTGGGCTCCTTGGCTAAGGGAAGCTGTAAAAAATGTAAATGGCAGATGGGGATTAAATAGGTGTCCCAAATCACTGCCTTTTGTCCAAAAGCCCCAGGCATAATTCCCACTCTATGAGGACCAAGTGACCCTAAGGATCCAGCACACTACCCTGGACAACCTGCCCTGGTGGACCTTCCTACTGTAGGGCAAGTACCACTAGTACTAAAAACCTCTCCAAATAAATATGCATGGGTGGCCTCCGACACTCTGGGAAAAAAGCATCGGATCAACACATGCTGGATAATTCCATCATTTTAAGTTTCTGCCTTTTGGGGGCAGACTCTGTTGTGTTCACTTTCCTCAGAAGAACACCAAGGGCCATGAAGACCAGATAAACCATGATAATACTAGTATTAAATAGGAAGTACTTACTATGGTAAGATACTTGTCTGCATCTTACCACAACACCATGGCCAAAACTCGTCTGAGTGGCCGTGGTCTGAAGCTACCATCAGGTACACCTGATGTGTTCTAGGATCCTACCCCAGAAGCCGTCGCCCAAACCTAGTGACCGTAGTACTACACGACTCTTGAGGTACATACCGTCAAAATGACTGGGGTTGGAACTGAAAAGATTGGCCCAGGGTGTTAACTGGAACAATTGGTGAAAAAATTAAGGTAGGATGCAGAAAAGTGGAAAAGTCTCCTTATGAGAAAGCTTCCACCATTGCAATCGTCGGAAATTTTCTAGAATCAGATGTGACAAGCAATTTGCACCCAACATCATGGCGAAACTCTGCACCACAGCAGTGTGGTCATGTAATAAACAATCCCCCCTCATACTGTGTTGTCATTCAGAAAAATATCAGTTACTATACCCTGGACCCCTGTACCAATAAGGTGGAAATTACGAAGCTTTGGAAAAACCAATCTACTGACTGTTGGTATCATTTCACTTGAACCAAATCAACCTCTGTAACATGTAATTGGCAAAATGACAGATCATTCAGGTCTGAAAGGTCTAATTTATAGACTCAAAATCAATGCAGTGGCACTGAGTGCAGTAATCACATACCATGGTGTAAGCACCCCCCTGTGCTGGATGACAAACATAATGTTTTCCCTCCCTTTATGGGAATGCAAGGTGATGATGTGACAATAACCTGAAAATGAATTGCTGAATCCTCATTGAACCTGCATACAGTTATGGCACAGGACCTCATGGCCACGTTCTGTTTTGTGAAATTCAAAATCAGAATTGTTGGCTAAAGCTAACTGACGTACAATTTTCCCATCAAATCATGTGTGGTAAAAACAATACCAAATACTGGGGAGAACTTGATGTTAATGTTGTGACACCTAACACCTACCACCACCCAACCACCAGTTATACTGAGCCTGAGAATTTTTGAAATTGGGCCATATATAATCAGAAAAACGGGCCAACAACAAATATTGTTTAATCCAGGGTGGTCTCTTAACCAAGTCAAATTGCTAATGTAAAACAATGTCTCAGAATTTCAGCCAGCTTGTTCACCTTTTTTGCAAGCATCTCTGAGAGGGGACAATTTGGTTGTAAAAGTGTAATTTTTCTAAAAAATGAATGACAAGAGTCATAACTGGTGTTGTGGGAAAAGGATTGGGAATTTTGGATAGTATTGACTTAAAAGCGCTGATGAATAAATTGGCTAACTGTCCTGGGGTGACTTTACTTTTAAGATAACTTCAGGACCTAGGGAAGTTGAAGCTGCTGAAGGCTGATGGAAGTTTTTTCTCCTGACCAATTATTGGTTTTAATTTCTGAGAATTGGCGGCGATTTTAACCATTGAGAAGTGAAATCAACCTGTGAACACCACCTTAAGATGTAAAGCCAAGGCTCTCTTGCTCTCTTTGGTTTCTGGTTTCTGACGAGGTCACAGGGCTCTGTCTCGGCCTCCTCCCCCCCTCCAGGCCGGACAAGGCTGCAGAGGGCGGGGTGGGGGGAGAAACGGAGCCGGCCAGCCTGACTTGGTTTGCAGTTTCTGCCACTGAACTGAAACCTGACACCATCAACATCTGCAGCTTTAGCAAGATTTTAACTCTTTTACTACCTGGATGAGACTTATGGATTACTCCTTTTTTCCCAGAGAGAGGGGAAGAGAGAGAGATGGATAATCAACATGAAGAAGACATCATAAAACCATCAAAGACAGTGATGAAAATAATTAAGTTTTAGCTGGGGAAGAGAGAATAAGGAGATGCTTTAATAAGCTGAAATATTTTTCTGTTAAAGCTATAGAGATGAACAACAGTGTTCTGAAAAAAAACTCCTTTAATTCATGGCAGAGTATATTGAGAGGAATGGAGTGTTCAGAGTGTGGATTTTGAGCAAAAAGTGGAGTAGTTGTGATACGGTGAAGTGCTGGAACAGAGGGGGAGAAGTAATAGTTAAAGATTTGGGGCCGTTAAGAGGGAAAGAGAAAACTTCTGATTCCATGGAGGCTCACAGAGACAAACGAAGAGAACTTTTGCCTTTGAATAACTCATCCTTAAAAATTACATCCCTAGACTCATTTAACCCATAACACACCTCAGAGTGATGTGAAATGGGAGGAGACAACTGATGGCAGGTTTTCCCAGGCAGCTGGCATCAGAGAAATAGAAAGCTAAAACAGAAATTGTTTTCTTGTGAGAAACTCCATAGATTAGCAGAAGAAGACTTCTGTTTCTCTACAAAGACTGATGAAAAGACTATAGCAAGAATTGGTACTGTTGTAAACACCAAAGTTCTTTTGTCTCTATGTTGTCATGTGAACAAGGAAATGGTTAAATAGTGAGGGAGGAAAGGGTTTTCTGGAGGTTTATTCTGGTTTCCTTATTCTTGTAGTTGTGTTAATAAACTTTCTTTATTCCTTTTAAGTTTCAAGCCTAAGTTTTGCTCTTGTTCTAATCCCTATCTAATAGCAAGAAATAAGTAAGTTTTCAAGTAATTTTTTAGTTACTGCTTTAAAACCACAACACTACCACAACTGGGGATGTAACCAAATTACAGCAACCACTGCAGTCATCCTTACCAGCTTTGGGAACCCAACAGTGGTTGCTATCA